CAAAACCATTCACCACCACACACTAAGACTGAAATCACTCAGTCTTCACATCAAACACTTGGGYYGCACAYTGCAKAACTGATTACACACAAGGTCTAGGACACAACCACCACCACCACCAATCACCACGACACAACCACCACCAATCTACTGCTGTAGTGAACTTCAACAGTCGACAACTCTTCTTTCAGCATACATATGAAGAGAAATGCAGAGGAATACGACTGAAATGCATATCAGTCACACCGAGCATCACCACAACCAACTTTTGAAGCAACAAGAAAACATTCACAGTCCCTTACTTGAACAAACAACAGTAGTGTTCATACCTGTCCACATTCAGCCCTCTTCGATACTGAATAGAGGGTTTAGTAAACCACTTCAACGACCACCACAGCAAYGACTGGAGGCATTCTCACCTCCAAACCCACAAAACGACAGCTCCTTTTCAGCCCCTTATCGAACCTCCACTCAGGTCAATCGAAAAAGAAGAAGACGACTGTGAAAGCTGGCGGCGAACCCAGAAAGAGAACAGAAACAAGAAAAAAATAAGGATACGACCTTACAKCTCTGATACCATGTGAATAAACCCTAGTTGATTCTAGGTCAAAGTAGAGAAGAAGGAAGAAGAAAGAAAAGAGAAAGGAGAAGAATATTCGGCCAGACTAGAAGAGAATGTGAATCAATTCTCTCTCCTAGCCGACCCACTTGGATTTTATTCATAAAACTTGGAGCTACAAGAAAGACAGTTTTGTCCCTCATATAAGATGGGACACATAACTTAAACTCAGATACAATAGACCTTTCACTTCCAAGAAGATAAACCAGAATGGCCAAAATACCCCCGACTCGAGCACTCTAACACCCAACAATCCTGATAGAAAGCCATTGAAAATCCATCCGGCCCTGGAGCTTTAGATCTATCCATCGAGAATATCGCTTCATGTATCTCCACAATAATGAAAGCTCTTTCTTGGAAGTTAACTTCGGATTCTGGCACTCTGTCCCACTGTAAATCTCCCAATTCTGCAATGTTTTCATCATAGGATGCAAGGATCAACTTAAAATGATCCAAGAAACACATTTCAATGTCCTCTTTTGCATTTACTACTCTTCCCTCCACCTCTGTATTGGAAATTTGGTTTTTCCGTCTTCTCCCATTTGCTAGGGAGTGGAAAAATATGGTATTACCATCCCCCTCCAGAAGCCATTTACATCTAGATTTTTGCCTCCAAGAAATCTCTTCTTTTCTTAGGATCTCTTCCAATTGCACTTTTAAGTTCCAACTTTCTACTCCATCCTCTATCCTGCATTCTTTCCGGGCCTCCTTTTGGTCCACTTCCTCTATTTTCCTGGCTAAGTCCTCCTTTATGACCTCAAGTTTTCCAAATTTCTCTTTGTTCCACTCCTTGATATGGAGGATTTCTTATTCCGCAGTAAAATCTCTTTTTCATTGGACAGTGTGGCATGCTATCTTAACCATTGATCAATTCATGATCCTTGCAGACATAAGCTCCCTTTGCACATAGAAGATGACAATTAGTTGATCATCTCACTCAAGATCATTTGAAAAGTGAAGGATTTCAGTTGGCTAATAGGTGTGTGCTTTGTGAATCTGAAGTAGAGGATGTGTTTCATCTATATTTTGGGTGCTGCTACACAAAATTTATTTGGGAATTGTTCTACCATCTTGTCAACATGGAGATGTGGACACCTTGAATTCCAAATGACACCTTTGATTGTTGGCCAACTCTTAGTGGGAATAGAAAGGCAAAAAATTTCTGGAGTTGTGTACCTTTTGCAGTTTGTTGAAATGTTCGTAAGGAAAGAAACAGAAAGGTTTTTTATGGAAAATCAAGATCCAAGGAGAAGCTTTGTGCAGGAATTGGTTCCAAGCTGCTGCTATGGATTTTGCTGCTAATTTAAGGGGATTCAGAAAAGAAGCTTTTGGATCCAGCTTTTGGTCTGCTTTAGAGTTAGATAATGGAGATCTTGAGTGAAGAATTATTTGTGATCTCTTTTTTTTTTTATTTTGTATCGGGTGATGCCTTATCACCTTGATATCTTGTAATATTTTTTTATATTAATGGATTTTTGTTTTTTATTTATTTAAAAAACCTCTTACCACACTGCATATATCAAAGAAGTCCATCCTACTTTCTCATCACTTGGGTTCCTTATGAGCATCTGAATTAACTTATTACACAGGAAGGCAAAATGAAGCATTTGTAATTCAGCTGGGCCTGCCAACTGGTTAATTCTGTATTGGGTCTGTTTTTTCACAACTTGTTGTATTCTGTTGCTTTTCATTCTTTCAGTTATTAAATAAAAATAATGCAAAGAACTAAAAAAGATTATCATATGGGTGTAGGTATTGATCACTGTTATTACTCACAGGAATAATTTCTAGGTTGTTTTCCAGAGCCAGGTAAACATTAGCCAGTGTCTGAGCTTCCACCCCCTGCATCATAGTAGATAAGGTATTTTATGGCCAAATCATGGCTATTTCTCACTGCATTGAGAATTAAAAATCAAAGGATAAATAGAAATTCAAACAGTATTAGAAGAAAAAGGCACCTGAGAAGCATCTACAACAAGGAGAGCTCCCTCACAGGCAGCAAGAGAACGAGAGACCTAATTAGCAAATGGTAGAGTAAGATGTGAGAACAAACTAAAATATATTATCAGTAAGATTTTCTCAAAATGGAAATGCTTCTTTCTTTTTTTTTTTTTTTTTTTGATCAATAATGGAAATGGATCAAGAGAACCATGAAATAGTAAATTAGGACCCATGCAAATGACTAACAAACTATTTTTCCTTTTCAATCAGTTACATATCACAGATAAAAAAATTAAATAGTAGAAATGATATTTAATGAATTATCTATGATAATTTACCTAACCATGAGACTAGGTTGCTCAGGTCCTGTGTTGCATGGATAGGCTATGATCTCTAATAAGAATACATGGTATCTGACTTAGTAAGCCCCAAGAAATAGGATTCAGAGACCCAGTAAGAAGACATAAGCCACATGGCATTCACAATTCAAATCGTAAATTGTATCATAAGTTGTATTTTGGCAACTATGCTTTTTGTGTCACTCGTTTCTACACACCAAACAAGGAAAGAATGGATGGATTCTTAAATTCTCATGTGCCTCATTATCAAGCAGACGCAAAATAGCTATATCAGTATGAAAGGATCAGATAAGCTGTATATACCTCATATGAGAAGTCAACATGCCCTGGAGTATCAATTAGATTTAAGCAATATGGCTCACTTTCAAGCACATAGCGCATTCGGGCTGCCTGCAATGAAGAACCAAAAAAAATGAAGTGCAAGATACAAATATTACAGACAGATCACGAATGCAATCATCATACAAATATTAGACAGATCATAAATGCAATCATCCAGAAATAAACAGTACCATGCAAGAAGTCCTAAACATAATGTATATGAATACAACAGAAATAATTACATACAACATATCAAGTATGTAAACAAGGAAATCATTAAGTCTTTCTCCAGCTAAACAAATACCTCGATGCTTCCATCAACTAACATAAATCTTATGAAATAATCATAGGACTGCAAATGGAGTGGATTTAATCCAATTTGTTTAAGTTGGATTTGGAATGTAGCCGACCACATATAGTTGGGATAAGGCTTGGATGATGATGGTGATGATATAAAATATCATTTTTGGTATTAAAATTCTTTAGAATCAAGTGGAATTTGGGGTTTAGATAAACTTTTTTAAATTTATAGTATATATTCTTTTGGTTTACATCTAATTTTATAAATTAATGCTATTTATTGATGCTTTAATCAAATCAGATTTGAATTTGGTATTCAGATATGTAAAAGAATCTTGGTCGGCCTTAAACAGATCAAATTCTGATATCTCAGACTCTTATCAGATTAGATTTTGATATATCCTTATCCAAACTCGATCCTATCCATTTGGAGCCCTAAATAATTGGTCATAATAGCAGTACTTGGTTAGGATATAAAAAAAATGACTAGTATATGCATGGTTCGCACTGTTTCCGTCACATAATCTTACTCTTCTTAGGCACTAGTACTGAAATCTTACTCTCCTTTGGCACTGGTGCTGAGTTTCTTTATATGGATTGCTAAGAATGTAATATGAGAGAGAGAGAGAGAGAGAGACTAGCCTCAAGAAATGCACTACATTATAATTTTATGAACTATGATTCTAGATCTCCAACCCCTTCTGTAAAGAAGGGATATCCTTTAACATTTACAATGAACATTTTCTTGCAGGGGAAAGAATGCCATGAGAATTCTACAAATACTCCATCAATTTATTAAGATTTGGATGGGGAGAAATGACAAATCAATTTTGACATTCATTCTGATGCAGCTTGAGGATAGATCAGAGATTCTTTGCATGACTTATACGAAGCATAAAATAAAATGAAACAAAGATACAAGTTATTTAGTTGATTAAACATGTCAAATGAATAACTGAACAGTTGTTCTTATAAAAATAAGGTATCTCACTCCACTAAGAGGAGCTGCATATGATAACTGTTCACTCTTGAAAAAAAAAACCTCTGGCTTTCTCAATCTTGTGTGCAATAATGCATGCACTTACAAGCACTGGTAAGTATCTAGTATCTGCATTCTTTGCACGTGGCAATTCTTCATGAAGATGATGATAGTAAATAATATGTTTCCAAAATTTTCTACAATTTTTTTGTTTATATGTCTATAAAAAGTTGTTCTTATTTGTAACACTTATTTTTGTTTAATATGATGAATATATGATATTAAATATGTGCTCAAATGTTTTATACAATTTTTTTTGATTTTTTTATACTTTTATGTGTTTTCATCCTTTTAATTTTTATTATTATTATTTAACTATGACATCAAAGGTTGACACATTTTAACCCAAAATGTTGAATTGTTGACTCGCCACCAAACAGGGAAAAAACTCCATTTTTTGGGTTGGTTTTAAATTTGTATTTTATTTCTAGGGCTTTTTGCAAAAATATTAACAAAGTCTACAAAATTGACAAATTCAGTAACAATAAGAAAATAATGTCCAAAATAAATGACCAGGAAACAAAATAAGTTTTTCGGATAGGATTACCCCTCATTGAAAAAGAAAACATACAAGGCATCCCTTCAACCCTCAACCTTAGCCATTCCTTTGCCACACTACTCAGTAAGAAAATACACACACACACACAGAACCCTCAATCCTTTTGTCATACAATTAATCCAGAAAACATAGAGGGATAGAGAGAGAAAGAGAGAAAATAATGCAAGTAGTGCCTTTCAACATGTTAAGAAAATAGAGAGAACCCCCAGCCTTTCTTCCACACAATGCATTAAGAAGAGAGAGAGAACCCTAACCACTTATTCCACCACATAGCGCAAGGGAGAGAGAGAGAGAGAGAGACAAAGAGACAGAGACACAGAGAGTTTTAAAATGAATCATGGATCCATGATGGAGATGATTGGCATGAGGAAAGCATTGGAGCCTCCAATAACAATAGGCAGCTCGGTTCTATAATCATGATATGTGACAATGAAACAATTGAAATAGAACATGCCCACATTTAAAATCTACAAAATACACAAACCCATTTAGAAAAATTGTAACAACAAAGAAAACTGGTCTTGGTTCCTTTTGGATATTCCATTTAGCAAACAATATTAAATTGAATGTTGTCTTTTGGGTATGGGCTGAATTTGTTCACACTTGATTTTTTCTTTTTTCCATATAATTGAAAAGAAGAAGGACTGCAGTTTGGTTGGCATTTGGGAGAGAGATGAGTTTTCAGCCTTGAGAGATTGAGCGAAGTTCTGGTTTTAAGGTGTTCAAAGTTACTTGATATATTGTTTTGGGAAAGTTTGTCCAAATGAACTTGGTTTCTTCCCCAACCACTAATTTAGCTATTACTTTATACAAATCAATGATTTTGCCATCGTAACAAACTTTGTTATTTTTTCTATAAGAAGTCTATTTCTATCTTCAATAAAAGCAATTATTCTTTATCACACTTATCTTTCTTTAATATGGTTAATTAATATAGGATTCAATGAAAGAATGGGTGTTAATACTCTAAATATAAGACTTAAGCAGAGGGAATTGAATTAGGAGAGATGCAGTAGTTCAAAGTACATTCTATGCCCTCACAAGTAGAGAGGGACCAAAATTCAAAAATAGGGGTATTCTAGCCAACAATAGGATTAGTTGAAAACAGCCCTCTTGTAGTATAGAACAGCTTGAGATTAGATACAAAACCAGAAAAAGAACAAGAGAAGCTTAAGAAGTTGAGAGAGGAAGAGAGTTGAAGACAATGAGAGAGTTAGAGAAGAGAGGTTCGAACTCAACCTCCCTCTAACACTCTAAATCATTTTATTAACTTAATCTTTGAAATATTACAGAGGGGCCCTTGGATGGGCAAGAAACTACAAAACAGAGTATGTAAGACTATGGGCCCAGAATAAGGCCCATTACAGAGAAAAAACATAAACATAACATAGAATGACAGCTTATGGGCCATTCGGCCCATCTCCTCTACACTCCCCCTCAAGCTGAGCATAGATGTCAATCATGCCCAGCTTGCCAGTGCCATGTTGAAGCACCCTTGGTGAGGAAATCTGCCAATTGTCCTTCAGAGGCAATGAATGGAAGACACACTTCACCGGAAGAGACTCTTTCTCGAATAAAGTGTCTATCAACCTCAATATGTTTGGTTCGATCATGTTGTACTAGGTTGTGAGCAATGTTGAGGGCAGCCTGATTATCACAGTACAACATCATTGGTTTGTCATGATCAATCCCAAGCTCCTCCATTAAGGACCATAGCCATAACAATTCAGAGACTCCATGTGCCATGGCTCTATATTCTACTTCTGCAGATGATCTGGCCACAACTGATTGTTTCTTACTCCTCCAAGAGACAACATTACCAGCCACCAGACTGCAATACCCTGAAGTAGATCTTCTATCATCAATATTTCCAGCCCAGTCAGCATCAGTATAGGCTTCAAGYTTCAAATGACCATGCTTGGTAAATAGAATTCCTTTTCCTGGAGAACCTTTCAGATAACACAAAATTCGTTCTGCAACTGCCATATGAGTATCTCTGGGAGCATGCATGAACTGGCTAATACAACTGACAGCATATGCAATATCTGGCCGAGTCATGCACAAGTACAGGAGTTTCCCAAGAAGTCTCTGAAAGACCCCTTTGTCTTCCAACAATGTTCCATCCGAAGCTGAAAGTTTGTGACTCATATCAATGAGAGTTGCAACTGGTCTGGCACCCATCTTTCCAATTTCATACAGCAAATCAAGGACATATTTCCTCTGGGAGATAAGAATCCCATCCTTAGATCTAGCAACTTCTATGCCAAGGAAGTATCTCAACTCTCCCAGATCCTTAATCTCAAATTCTGTGCGAAGGAAAGACTTAAGGGCCTGAATGCCTGAGGCATCATCACCAGTCACTATAATGTCATCAACATACACAATGAGATACACTGCTAGAGATCCACTTTTCTTCGCAAAGAGAGTATGGTTTGACTGTGTCTGGACATAGCCGAATCTAACAAGTGCAGCTCTAAACTTCTCAAACCAGGCTCTAGGAGACTGTTTGAGTCCATAAAGTGATTCTTCAACTTGCATACCTTTCCTTGCATATCTTTCCCATACATTCCTGGCGGGAGAGACATATAGACTTCCTCGTGTAAATCACCATTCAGAAATGCATTCTTTACATCTAACTGATAAAGAGG